ATTATGAAGTTATCTCACTAGCACTTGATTAAGCCACATTTCTAGGGAGTGGACATCTGTTGATTCCTTTACCTGAGCTTTCTGAAAACATTTCCTCTAGAAACTGAGGCTTTCAAAATTTTAAAAAGTGCTTGGTTAGTTAGAGGAATAATGCTTTTGGGTAGCTAGTCCCATTATTTATGGTTGGAAAACAACAGTATTTGATTATACTGAGCTTCAAACTTTTTCTTTTTATTATTAAAAATCTTCTTTTAGAAGATTTTTTAAAAAGTCCTTTTTAAAACTATGCTCTGTTTTTACTTGGTCCAAAACAGCCTACCCTCTGGACTCAATATGAATACCTTTAGATACCTGTCTTAGTTAAGTAAATAGTATCAATGGGTATCCATTTGGAAATATTTAGCAGTCAGTTGACATAATGAAAATGGCACTAAATCGAGTTGAGTTTTGCGTTTCCATCGGTGAGTGCTGCTGCTACCTTTTTTCCATCCCTCCGGCCATCCTTTTCCTGTTATTTTTTTCCTTCGTCACATGTGTGCTTTGTGGTAGAAATGTGTTAAGTCACTGATGCAAAATATACTTTCATTACCCGCCTAAGCTTCTTTTCTACTTATTTCCAGGATCTTTAAAGGTGGCCATGAGACTGAAAATGATTTACTCTCTAGTATGAAGCTTGGTAATCCAGTCAGCTTACTAACTGACTCTTATGAAAAACTGGGCAAGATGAGAAACCATAACAAGTTTCATGATAATTCAGTGGGAAGGGGATAGGGCTTTTCCAAAGAAGGAGGTATTTTTGCTCTTTTGCTAAACAATTAGTCCTCTATTTATAATAAAGGGTTTCTGGCTAGGTTTGGCTATGTGAAGACTCTTGTCAAGAAGGCAGAATTTAAAGATATTTTGGGTGTGAAAATAATAGCAGCTGGTCTTGGTGATATGCAAAAAAGGAAATCAAAGGGCCTCCAAGCCTAAGAGAGACTAGGGAAGATTGAACTTGACTTGAACGTGGTGTAGGTACCTTGTACCAATGAGGTGTGAGGCCAACAATGCCAAGGCTGGGTAGAGATCAGCGGGAGGAGGTGAATCTGGACCTAATACCAGATAATCCCAGCTTGCTGCCTACTCACCCTTATGGCCAGGTCTGACCTCATTCTTGGAGCCCTCCCCATTCTGCTCCCTTCCATGGCAGATAATTCAACTGAGTCCTGTGTTCTGAGGATGTGGCTCTCTATCCAGGGCTACTTGTGTCCATTTGGCTTGGTCTAATGGGCACTCAAGACAACCTAAGAGCTACTGCAAGGTGCACAGGGCTTTGCCACCCTTGGGAAGATCTTACCACCCTTTAGCCTGATGGGGTTGCTATTCTTTTTCATAACATTTGAGAATCTGCACAGAGCAGTTGCTATACACTTAGGGTTCCAAGTTGGCTAAAAAGTTGCTTTATGGACAGTCCTGGGCCCCACATTCTGGGCTACCTGGGGCTTTTGCATGCTGGCTCTTAGCAGCCTCATCCCTTTGTCTTTAGTGAAAGAGGCAGGAACTGCAGTTCATGGGGTTTTCACAAGTGGTAAGGTAGGAACCTTGGCCTGGTGTTGCTGGGCCTGGTCTTCAGCAGTGCTCTCGAAGCCCTCCTTCTTTGCTCCATTCTCAGTTCTGCTGGCAGCGGTGTGGAGGAGCAGTGTGTGTAATTGTAGCCTGCTGTTTGGTTACTGCCTTGAACTTCAGGCCACCTGGCCTGCAACACTGGCTGCCTCACACCCTTTCTCCAGCAGTGTCAACCTCACACTGTCTGGATTACTTTTCTTTGTAGCGGACTGGTGTGCAAATGCAACCTCCTTTGTGTCATTTCTGTTGTCCAAACCATCTCCATTTCTTACGTCGAACCATTCGACTTTTCCTAAACTTTGGCTGCCACGACTTTCTTGCCTCTGCCTGGGGGTGTCCCCATCGTGTGTGGCCACCCGTGCCCCTACGCCTGCCCTGCTCTCTGTGGGACCAGCCCCGTGACAAGGTGCAGCTAGGTCTGGGTGCCAATGCTCCTGGTTGTGGTGATGGTGACTAATAGGGGTGTGACCATAACTAGGTCAGGGTGGTAGTGGGCTGCTCAGGGCTCTCTGGGGTCTGCTCTGCACTAGCACTGCTGATCAAACTGCATGTATAGCTCTTAACCCCAGCACGACAGGTCCACTAAAGGCCTGCCTTTGAACAGTAACATAAACAGTCGATTAACACCTTTTGAATGTTATATGCATTATAGACGGTGAAAAATATTCATGAACCGTTGAGAGATCCCTTTTTACTGTGACACATATTTTGCCAGAGAGAAAAACTGCTTTTGACTGTTTTAGGCAGCAACTCCCAGCGCTTCTGCTCACCACAGTTGCAGCGGGAGGCAGCTGTGATGTGAGCGCAGTAGTGCAGAATCCACTATGGTTTGAGGCAATTATGATTTATTGCCACATCTTTATCTTAGCACACATTTCTCTTGACTGCATATGGTTCCATGTGTGGTCTGTGTTTGTGTGCTAAGTTTTGATATATTTTAACTTGTAATACACTCCTGGGGTTGTAAATGGTAAAACGAACTCTTAACTACATATATATTATGCATTCATGGTACACCTAACTTTTTTCTTTTTTTTTTTTTTTGACATTTCTAAGTTTACATGTTCTGGCGGAAGATTATTCAAATTGCCACATGTCCCCTTCCTTAGATCCACAAACAAGTGGGCCCCCGTACAGCTCAAAACCTGGTTATATATATTTTTCTGTAGAGATGATGGGATATTTGATACCTTGAAGTTATTGCCCACACACTGTTCAGTCACTCACTCATTCATCTGTTCAGCAAAAGCGTATCAAGTGCCGCTGAGTGCTGGGTGCTGAGCTAGCTTCTGGGGCTCCACAAGTGAAAACATTTCTACGGCTTCGTCCATTTCACACTGGCTATCTACTCTCACCCCGAAGGCATTGAGCTGCTACAGTTAAATATTCACAGCTGCTTTCTCCTGACTTGAATCATGCAACAGACATTAGTAAACAGACAGTAAAAGGACCTGAGGTTGATGGGGGTGCTGTGCTCCACAGCATGGTGATGGAATGGAAAGACACGGGTAACAGAATAGGAACTAGCATTGCAAACTGCCAGCCTGTGCTCTCTAAGGATCATTAAAAAATAAAGAAGTCCTATTTGAGGCTGCCAACCTTAGAGCTAAGTTATTTAGAATGGAAAAAGTTGGCAAATTCAGACATACTCAACCCAAGGAGCCAATATTTTGTGACTTTTATGGCCAGTGTAGTTTGAGAACCAACACCACAGAATTGTGTACAATATTAATGAGTGGGGAGAGCAGAGAAGGGTTATAAAACCCACGCTAAAAGCAAAGCGAGGGCTGTGAGGAGGGGAGTGAGACCCAGGTTATCTGGGAGGGCAGGGGAAGCAGGAAGCAGGAGCCTCCTTAACCAGCAGACACCCAGATCTGTATCTGCAGTTTACTTTATGTGAAAATCATACGAGAGCCTTCACTCCATCTGTCCTTCCACTATCTGTCCACCTCTCTTCCCCAGTCGCCCTTGAACACGCTGTCTATTCATTTCAGTATATTCTTGTGTGCCACCTCTGCACCAGGCTCTGTGCTGTGCTGTGCTCAAACCACATAGCCATGTCCTTTCTGCCACCTTCACTTGTTAGCATGTGCCTGGGAAATCATGGGCCAAAGTCACCTACCCAGTGCGAGGTGATACGCAAAGTTATCCTCACGCCTTTTTATTGCCTTTCTTGCAGTTTCCCTCAAGCCATCTCCATGGAGGCTGCTCCTTGCACTCATGTTGCTAACCCCAGACTTCTTGACTTTATTCTTTTATCCACTTCTCTGTGTCTTCAGCCATCTCCTCTCCATTCGTCCCTTCCCTTCAGTCTGCATGAGGTCTTTTCAGGTCCCTTCTGCTGTAAAAAACCCCCCAACCAAAGAGCATGCTTGTCTTGTATTCTTTCCCTGCCATATTTTCTCTTTCCTTCTCAACTCATATCCAAATTCTCAAAGAAGTGGCCTCTCTTTCTGTTCCTCTCCTCACACCCAGCTGCTCCTCCACCCATGCATTTGGTTCCTGCCTCTGCCATTTCCTTGAAACTCCTTGCTCAGCTTCTCCTTGTTCAAATCTAAATTTATATTATGAGTTCTTGTTTTGTTGGGCTCCTCTCCCCCGTTTGGCATTACTGACCACTTCTCTCCTCAATACTTTCCTAAAAGTTTGTGTGTATCTGTTTTCCTGCTTAGCTTAGAACCAAGCTTTCTTGCTTTTCACTTTCAGTTTAATTTTGGGGATATATTTCCTCCCCTAAACCTCTAGACTTTGAGATACCCATCTGGGTTCTCCTACCCCTCTCATTCCACATGTTTTTAAAGGAGTCTATTTAATACTGATGAATAGCACCTTCAAATTATAAAGACAAGTTATAAAGATTTAGGGTTACCTGGTAACAGTACTGGGAATAAATCTGAATTAATTTTAAACATATGTTTTATGTTGTTCATCAGGTCCCCTGAATTCCCAATGTTTCAGCTGGTCTGTGATTTGTCTCCATTTCCTAACGACTCTTTGTAGGGTCTATAATCGGAATGAGCATTGGCCTCTAATGATTCTGAACTAATTGTGAAGCCTTGAGAAAGCGAAGAAGTCTATTATAATCCAGCTAATTTCATTTTGTCGTTTTTCTGGGTAGTGCATTCTGGAGTAGCCAGTCCGCTTCTCAAGCAAGTTTTTGATAAACAATTTTCCCTCAAGGTTAGTATAATAGGCAAACACCTTTCACTGCAACTGATGGCAAGAGGTACTGAAAGATTGGCTTACATTATGATTCATTATTTCAAAATGTCAGAATAAAGTGGGTTGGCTTCATCGCCCAAGTTTTATTCTTTAGAAGGGAGTACATGTTTTGCTTTTATAATGCTAATGGACTCACTGTTTTTTGTTTTTTTTTGGTACTCTTTTTTTTCCAGGCCAAATTCAGGTAATCGACGCCAGAGCGGCCGAGAGAGATTGGCCAGTAGCAGTGACAAGGGAAGCATGACCCTGGAATCTGCCAAGGAGACCCGCTACTGCGCAGTGTGCAATGACTACGCCTCTGGCTACCATTACGGGGTCTGGTCCTGCGAGGGCTGCAAGGCCTTCTTCAAGAGAAGTATTCAAGGTAGTAGTGTGTTGAAAACAACTTACTCCATTTTGGCCCTAAGAGCACAAGTAACCGAGGACATGATCAGCCATTTATACAAAGCAGTAACACCTAGTAGGTCTACTGGTATCCTTGGTAGAAATGTGGAGAAGAGACAGAATCTCAGGAGAAGTTGGCAGATGCCAGGGAATCTGTGTCTGAGTAATTCTGCTTCCTCCCTTTGGCAAGATCCAGACAGTCTTGAGTCAGCTCTCATGGTGGACGATTTTGGTAGCTGGGTCTCTGAGGTAAAAAGAACGACTATCTCTGCCCTGACTGGGGCATGGCAGAGGACATTCAGATTCTACTAGCTACTCTGCTTAGATGGTATGGCATGATATCAGTTGTCTGTGCATAATTCTTTCTCTCTCTTGGCCTTGTTCTGATCTTTGCTCCAGACCAATTCTAATTCAGTGTGTTCTCTTCCTCTCCTCCGTCTCTTTCTCATCTCAGTGGATGACATGACCTTTTGCTAACATGAGCAGATTCAGTGTCTGGTGACTTGTAATAGGGGGGGTATCATCTGTACCAAGTAGTTATTAAGTATCCCACAGTAACATTTTGTTCCCTTGTCTACCTCAATCCTTTTGTTGTACAGAGTTTATCAATTGTAGCTTCTCTGATATTCTGCTAGCTGCATTTTATTTCTACTCTAGGGATTTCTATATTGTTGCATAATATGGGACATACCCTCAGAAAACATCAATCATTTGTGATGAAATATCTATGCTAGTGATGCTTTGTCTGATAGGAGCAGAGGTCTGATAGCAGCTTAGGTTTATTGAATTTACTTTTTGTCTCAATAATGGGTATTTTCCTCTGTTATTTGTTTACTATTTCATCTTAAGTGAAGTTTGCTATAGGAATACTAAGAACATTTCTGATTGAGTTTTCTTTTGATTCCCTCTACAGAAATCTAGACTTAAGTAACCTGTTGAAAACCATAGTCTGCTAAATTAATAGACACTGCCTGAAGGAGTGATTCTCAGAATTTTCTGCTGTGGCTCTTCACTGCCCTGCTATGGAGTTAAAACTTTGGGGCTGGTCCATGCTATTTTTCCTTCCATTGTCAGTGGATTTTTTTTTTAAACTGTATTTTAATAGAGTAGCTGGTAAGGTCAATGTAATCCATTTTAAAGAGTTTTCTTTGACACTTACTGCTTTCAACATCTTTTAGAACTCTGCAGTAAGACTTGGACATTTTTCTGTGTTGGTGTTTTAATAACAATTAGTAATATTCTCTGCATTAATCTGTGGTGTGTTAGGTACACAGACAGAGACTATTAATTTTATTATTTTAATCCAGAAAAGTGAAAGTTGTGTCTCACCTTGGATTAGTATAAATCCTTAAAGCTATTCTGGCAAACATTTTAATTTATGGTTTTACTGTTTGATTTTATATAATCTAAAATATCTTTATTTTCACCAAGCTTTTTTTTGTTTTTGTTTGGTCTTTTGATACAGGGTCTCACTATGCAGTTCAGGCTGGCTTTGAGCTCACTTTGTAGCCCAGGCAGGAGGATCCCAGTGATCCTCCTGCATCAGCTGCCTGAGTGCTGGGATTACAGGCATGCCACCATGTCCTGCCCACCAAGCATTTAATCTGGTAGGAAAACAGACTCTGATAAACATATGATTAGTATATAGGTTCAGCTATACACTTGGATGAGTCATTTATCTGAGACTGAGTTCCCTCATCAATAAACATGATTGAGAGCGGTTATCATTAACATTTTCCCATAAAGGGCCAAATAGTAACTATTTTAGTCTTTGAGGGCCATACAATCTCTCCTGCATCTGTTCAACTCTGGCATTGTAGTCTGAAAAGAGCCTCAGGTAGATGCAAATAAATAGGAGTGGTTGTGTGCCAATTCAACTTTATTTATAAAAGTAGGGAACTGAGCAGAAGTGGACTGTGGGCCATAATTTGCTGATCCTTGATTTAATTTTCATTTGATTTGTGTAACCTAAATACCAGGATTTATGGAAAAGAAATAGGTGGTTTTTAAATGCAAAGCTTTGATTTTTTGTGTTTTATTGAGAACTTATGCTTTACCAGTCTAGATGTACTGAGGAAAATTTAAAAATAGGTAGGATGCAATTCATAATCCAACAAATTTAGAATTTATTTGGGGTGTTCATGTGGGATAAAAGGGTACTAGTTTTCATGATACAACTAGAAAATAAGCAAGTGTAGACAAAGTACTACCTTAAGATAAAGAGAGGGACTTTAAAATTTTTAATTTCATTAATTTATTCATTTATTTATTGAATGTTTCCATTATTGATAGGGAAAGCACAATATAATATTAGGAAAAATGTAGTCTCTACTGTCACTGATCTTATAACTCAGAGGCAGGAATGGATAAATAAACCAGCAGTCAAATTACAGTGAGATATGTAGCAAAGTGGATGTGAATGTAGGTTCTTACAGCAATCTAAACTTCACTCATTTCCAGAGAGGGATGAGTAAGACTTTCATCAAAGTTTTCCTGATGAAAATCAACCCTGAAGGATGAATCAAGTGAGCAAGATGAAGGAAAGAACGAATGTTCGGTCATATGAATGAACATACCTGTGAAGACCTGGAGGGGAGATAGAGTGTGGGAAGTTCTGTGAATAAGAACTTACCGAATTAGTTCAGTTTTAGATGAGGCAGAGATGTTCTTGGCTCATTCCTTTCATCTTAGACTGTGTAAAAGCAAAGTAAGTGAGCTCCTTTTTATTTTATTGGCAGTTTTTTTGTGCTTACAGAAGGAAACGTAGCAAAGCACCCTTAAGGGTTTCTAGCCCTGTTTCCTCATCAGAGTCTTGATAACTTGGAACTAAAATGTTTGACTGAACTTCTTTTGCTCTTTGTAAATCACACTGCCCTTCACACGCATTGAAGGGCAGTGAAGGGGCTGACACCTAGGTAGAAAGTTCTGAAGATGCTGCAGCTCTCTCTGTTCTGCTTGTTACTTAAGAGGAGAGGTGGAAATGAGTACACATCAAATTATTCTCATGTTATAAGTGTTTTGGCTGAAGAGGTAAAGTGTTTGACTTGAAAGCATACAAATTTTCATCTATGACTTAGTGTACAAACTTGTTTACTTAAGAAACTGACTAATGGCCTCCAGTGGAATTTTTTTAAAGCAAAGTCAAGAACACTATTTAGGTCAGAGGTACACAACTGAATATTCGATGAATTTATTAGTCTTGCAGGCATAGGGCTATGCTTTAAGGTGTGTTTTAGCAAGAGACTGTGGAATAAGTTATACAAAAAGACTAGGTTAATTTCAGTAGCCAGGTGTACTTTTTAAGTATTACTCCAAGGAAAAGGGATGCTACTGAACTCATTGCACCCCCCTCCACTCAGTGCAGGGGATTAATCCCGGGGCCTTGCACATGCTAAGTACATGATCTACCACTGAGTTACACTCCCAGCCCAGCTAATTGCTTTCCTTCCGTTATTATTTCAGAAGGATGTACCCAAGCTCATCTATATACCACCAGAATACTACCACTTGATATTCTATCAGGTCTATGCAGAGGTTGCTCAACATTAGTTCAGACAGACTTGCCTAAGACTGATATTGGCCCACAGTTTAGCTGACTCTAGGAGAACACCATGGAATCTGGTCATAGGGGCTTTAGGTCTGACAAGGGTAACTGAGAGAGCATGATCCACCCAGGCCTTAGAAAACTTCATTCAGTGTGATACAGTCCAGCACCCTGGATAGCTCCAACAATAGTTGCTGAGGGTAAGCAGAGACTTATTTCTAAAGAACCTGAGGCCCATTTAGCTGATTCCATCTACTTTGTGGGGCTCTGTTTATGGTAGGGCAGATGTTTCACTGACTTAATGATTTTATTTCCTTTGAAGATATAGCCAGTGATAGGATTGCTGGATCATGTGGTAGTTATATTTTCAATTCTTTTGAGGTATCTTGCTACTGTTTTCCATAATGGTTCTACAAATATTTCTTCTTTAGTGACCTGTTAAATGACTTTTCAGACTTAGGATAGAGGCACACTGCTTGGACTTACAAATCACCTTTTTATTTGTATAGTTCTTTATGTCTTGTCCATAGGCCCTCCATGCCTTTTTTTGTACTGTAAACCTTGTTTATACAGTACTGTGATTTTTGCCAATTGTACTGTCCAGTACTGTAGTTTTATGTTCTGTTCTGCATTACAGTACTGCATGTAAGAGTTATGGAAATAAAAGCAAAGTCAGCAAGGTGAAGCTTCCTTTGACCTCTTCTTTGTTCTGAACATTGTAATGTACATATGGTGTATGATTTCCTCATTTAGCAACCTATTCATTTAACAACCTCATCACAGGAATGTGACTGGCTGTTAAATGAGAAATGCCTGTACTACTTTTTGTTCTGACCAACGCTGTATAGGGATTTCCTCCCTCTACATTTCAGGAGCACTTATCTTTTGGCTTTTTGAGCATACTCATTCTAACTAAAGTGAGTTGATAGGTCATTGTGGTTTTAATACAAATTTTGCTGATGATAGGAAATCAGTGATATTGAACATTTTTTTTCATATATTGTTCTTATTGGTCAGTGGTTTGTCTTCTTGTGAGGGAGGTCTACTGAGGTTAATTGCCCATTTTAAAATCAGATTATGTTTTTCTTGTTTCTTTTTATGTCATTGAGTTTAATTCTTACATTTGTAGCCTATTGGCCCCTTATTAGATAATGCATTTGCAAGTTTTCTCTCTTCTTCTGTAGGTTATGTCTTCACTCTGTTGAATGTTTTCTTTGCTGGGCAGATTAGTTTTCTTTTAAACCCTTAAACCTTTATGAAATTATCCTACTTACTTGTTTGTTTCATTGTCATCTGTCTGCACTAGGCACCACCTGCCTGTATTCCCAATATAAAGTTGGATAGAAACTCAGTGAGAGCTGAATGAGCTTTGTTTGTTGCTACAGCACCTGTAGGATTGAGTACATGTATGCTAAATGGTAAAATATGGCAAGGGG